ATCGCGGTATGCGGAGAGGAATCTGTGCTATCAGAACTGCGTTCCAGTTTTCGAAATGCCAAAACATTTGTCAAAATCTCCCAGAGGCCATAACAGGGACCCGAAGCAGTGCCGCATGAAACTTAAGGGGCTGAGGCAAGCCTACCAGAAAACCAGAGAGGTGAACGGCCGCTCCGGGTCAGAGCCCGAAACATGCCGCTTCTATGATGAGTTGCATGCCATTTTAGGGTGTTCAGCCACCACTACCCCAGCCATATTGTTTGACTCCTTCAATGGAGACGGAGGCAACACGGAATCAGGTTTTGGGGACGAGGAAGATGATGATGATGAGGTTGTATATAGCTCACAGCAAGCAAGCAGAGAAACCGGTTTTCCCGACAGCCAGGAACTGTTTCTCACCCTGGACCTGGAGCCAGTACCCCCCGAACCCACCCAAGGCTGCCTCCCGGACCCACCAGGTGGAGAAGGGACCTCTGGTGAGTGTACCTTTTAAAATACTATACATGGTTTAAAAGCAAGCATGTTTAATGATTAATTTGCCCTGGCATTCGCGGCTCTCCTGGATGTACTCCCAAAGCCTTTGCAAAAGGTTTCTGGGGAGGGCGGCCTTATTCCGTCCACCATGGTCGGACACTTTACCACTCCAGGCCAGTAGCACGTACTCGGGAATCATTGTAGAACAAAGCATTGCAGTGTATGTTTACTGGCATTCAAACAACATCTGTTCTTTATCTCTCTGTGTTATCCTCAGGAGAGTGATATCATTCATGGTCACCTGGTTGAAACAGGGTGCTTTTCTTAAGGGGACATTCAGAGGTGCCCGTTCCTGCTGGGTTGTTTGCCTGTGGGCTGAACAGAAATGTTCCCCGCTGTTAGCCACGTGGTGGGGGGAGGCAAAATGCGACCTTGGAACAAAAGCACATGTGCTATGTATGTAATGTTAACAGCAAGGTTTACCATGAAAGAGTGTACCCATTGTTCTATAAAATGTGTCTTTTTAAATACCACTGTCCCTTTTTTTTTCTCCACCAGCTGCATGTGTTTCAAGGATCACCAGGATCTTCTCCTTCCCAGAGGCTAGCGAAGATTAGAAGGCGAATAAAACGCACTTGCAATGAGTTCATGCTGTCCTCCCACACTGACAGAGCACAGACGAATGCATGGAGGCAGACAATGTCAGAGTGCAGGAAAGCACAAAATGACCGGGAGGAGAGGTAGCGGGCTGAAGAGAGGGCTGAAGCTGAAAGGTGGTGGCAGCGTGATGAGAGGAGGCAGGAATCAGTGCTGAGGCTGCTGGAGGATCAAACTAATACGCTCCAGCGTATGGTTGAGCTGCACGAAAGGCAACTGGAGCACAGACCGCCGCTACAGCCCCTGCGTAACCAACCGCCCTCCCCCCAATTTCCATAGCTTCCTCACCCAGATGCCCAAGAATGCAGTGGGGGGGGGGCCCCTCCGGCCACCCAGCCACTCCACCCCAGAGGATTGCCCAAGCAACAGAAGGCCAGCATTGAATAAGTTTTAAAGTTTTAAACTTTTAAAGTGCTGTGTGGCCTTGTCCTTCCCTCCTCCACCACCCCTCCTGGTGCTTCTCTCCTCCACCACTCCTCCTGGGCTACCTTGGTAGTTATCCCCCTATTTGTGTGATGAATTAATAAAGAATGCATGAATGTGAAGCAACAATGACTTTCTTGCCTCTGCAAGCGGTGATCGAAGGGAGGAGGGGAGGGTGGTTAGCTTACAGGGAAGTAGAGTGAACCAAAGGGCGGGGGATTTCATCAAGGAGAAAAAACGGAACTTTCACACCATAGCCTGGCCAGTCATGAAACTGGTTTTCAAAGCTTCTCTGATGCACACCGCGCCCTCCTGTGCTCTTCTAACCGCTCTGGTGTCTGGCTGCGCATAACCAGCAGCCAGGCGATTTGCCTCAACCTCCCACCCTGCCATAAACATCTCCCCCTTACTCTCACAGATATTGTGGAGCGCACAGCAAGCAGTAATAACAGTGGGAATATTGGTTTCACTGAGGTCTAACCGAGTCAGTAAACTGCACCAGCGCACTTTTAAACGTCCAAATGCACATTCTACCACCATTCTGCACTTGCTTAGCCTGTAGCTGAACAGCTCCTGACTACTGTCCAGGCTGCCTGTGTAGGGCTTCATAAGCCATGGCATTAAGGGGTAGGCTGGGTCCCCAAGGATAACTATAGGCATTTCAACATCCCCAACGGTTATTTTCTGGTCTGGAAATAAAGTCCCTTCTTGCAGCTTTTGAAACAGACCAGAGTTCCTGAAGATGCGAGCGTCATGCACCTTTCCCGGCCATCCCCCGTTGATGTTGGTGAAACATCCCTTGTGATCCACCAGTGCTTGCAGCACTATTGAAAAGTACCCCTTGCGATTTATGTACTCGCCAACTTGGTGCTCGTCACCATGCTGACGTCACCTACTCGCCCGGTTTCGCTTTACCAGGTTCTGGTGCTGCATATACTGCTGGATAATGCGTGTGGTGTTTAATGTGCTCCTAATTGCCAAAGTGATCTGAGCGGGCTCCATGCTTGCCGTGGTGTGGCGTCTGCACAGAAAAAAGATGCGGAACGATTGTCCGCCGTTGCTCTGATGGAGGGAGGGGCGACTGACGACATGGCTTACAGGGTTGGCTTACAGGGAATTAAAATCAACAAGGGGGGTGGCTTTGCAAGAAACAGAATGGCCCCCTCAAGGACAGAACTCAAAACCTCAAGGACAGAACTCAAAACTGTTTTTAGCAGGCTGTTGATTTCACGGAGGGAGGGAGGAGAAAATGAATACAAAACAAATCTGGTCTATTTCTTGTTTTGATCCACTTCATCTGTCTTTATACATCTTGCTGGCAGCAGACTGTGCAGTACGACCGCTAGCCATCATCATCTCCTGGGTGCTCGGCAGAAGACAATGCAGTATGACTGCTGGCCATCGTTTTCTGCTGGCTGCAGATTAAAAGGGAAATGACTTGGCTGAATCACTCCCATGTTTGCCCAGGCGCCCCGACCTCATCGAGGTCGTTAAAAGAGCACCCAGGACTACGTCGACGACGGCCACCAGTCATACTGCACTGTCTGCTGCCAAAAGGCAATAAACTGTTGCTGTGTAGCAATGCAGTACTGCGTCTGCCAGCACCCAGGAGACATAGGGTGATGGTTAGCTGAGCGGGCTCCATGCTTTCCGTGGTATGGCATCTGCACAGGTAACTCAAGAAAAAAGGCGCAAAACGATTGTCTGCCCTTGCTTTCACGGAGAGAGGGAGGGAAGGGGGGCCTGATGATATGTACCCAGAACCACCCGCGACAATGTTTCAGCCCCATCAGGCACTGGAATTTCTACCCAGAATTCAAATGGGCGGCGGAGACTGCGGGAACTGTGGGATAGCCACCCACAGTGCAACGCTCCGGAAGTCGATGGTTGCCTCGGTACTGTGGACACACTCTGCCAACTACATGCACTTAGAGCATTTGTACACACAATCGACTGTATAAAACCGCTTTCTACAAAACCGACTTCTATAAATTCGACCTAATTTCATAGTGTAGACCTACCCTATGATGACCCGTGTCACAAAGGCTTTCATTAGTGACCTTTTTACATGATATTTTTTTGGCAAACTAATATGTAGATCCTGGAGCAGGGGATCCCTGTAACCCTTATGCACACCTGTGCCCCATGGTTTCTATGAAGTCTTTTGCTCAGCGAGTCTTTAATATGACACTAGCTTCAGGAACTGAGCTACTACACCAATAATTTCAGTAACCACCTGTGCCTTGAGATTAGCTTAGTGAGCTAGAAATAGTAGCTAGTGCTGTCACAGAGCTCATGCCCTGACATCACAACCAGAGACCTCAGAAAACTGTGCCTTCAAATGAGCCCAGTTAGCTAGTTGTGGTGAACCAATGACTTCACAGTGCCTGTTCCTTGATATCTGCAATATTGCTAACTCTCATAGTCATTGGTGTTCTCAAGCTCCAGATTTCTGAGTTATGAAAATATGTGAGAACACCCCCCCCCTCCCCAAGTATATAGTTTTTATAATTGTGGAGAAAAGCTTGAACACATGACCCAACATAAGACCCAGAAACCAAAAGGCAAGCAAAGAATGTGAAATTTAGTTTTAAAAAAATCTCATGATTTTAAAGCCAATCGCATGTATTACATATGTGGGACTATCTGTAAGAGTATAGATGAACACAAATGTAATTAGAGCCATAGCATGTAGGCAGCTGACAGCCAAGCCTTACATTCCTTGTGCACCTAGTGACGTACCTAGTTCAAGACCCCCCAAAACATGAGTTTTTGAAGTAATACATTTGGGGTGCTTTTTATTTGTCATCTGGATTGTGAACCTCTTTAAGTACTCTTGGGCTATGTTTTCAAGCTTTCTCACACAACTGTGACACCTAAAGAGTTACTTCAACACCCCTCCCCCACCAAAAAAGCAGATCTTCTCCCACAATCACATGAATCCAGGAGTTGGGGTTTTAAGAAAAACAAATATCGCAAGAGTCGTGATAAGAGCATGAAGACTGGCAACAGTGGGGTGCAGCTACATGTCTTTAATGGTGTGTGGAAAGAGCAGCAGCTTGCCACTTACTGAGCACCGCTTTGCTCCTCTTCCTCCCTTTCTTTTCATCCTCCTTTTAAAATAACCCTTTGCTACCAGTTACCATTTGTTTGGTTTCTGCTCTACAGGGGTTATTATTAAATATTCATTGTTGCTGCTGGGAATTCATCAGTCCTCCCTCCCTCTCAAAACACCCACACGCAATTTCCCTCGCATGAGGCAGCCGCAGCCTTTACCGGACGGCTCTGCAACCTCCCCGGCCGCTCAGGGAAGAAGCGGCGCGAGCTCCGCCTGCCACACGGGCCGGTGGGCGGGCGCCCGCGAGAAGCCCCGCCCCCCACCCCGGACCGAGCGCCCGCGGGGCACCTCACGCTTCGCCTAATCGATTTGGCCTACAGCGGCTCCCGTCGGCCGTCTGAAGTGCGCGTGTGCGAGCCGCAAAGTAGCATGGCGGCCGCCAGGGGCTGCCTCTGCTCGTGCGCTCGCCCGATGCTGCCCCGGCTTTGCGTGGGGCTGGCCGCCGGGCCCGGCTCGCTGCTCAGGGCAGCGGCTTATTCCACCGCCCTGGGGGTGGGGAGCGCGGGGCCCAGCCAGAGAGAAGGTGAGAGCCGCCCCCAGCCCGGGCAGGGCCCCAGCGGTTCCGTTGTCGGGCTTCTGATTATGGTGCCTGCGGATATTCCCCGCCATTGTCTGCTGGGGTGTTTGTTTTGTTCTTTGAAAAGGAAAAAATAAATGCAAAAAGAGGCATAAATACAATAAACCACAATAAAGCTAAGTTTGTGCGTAAGCTACGTTCATGCATTTGACTTTCTTTTAGGTGTAGTTTGATCTCTGAATTCCCTGGGTCCACAGTGCTTGCTTTGGGGGGGCGGGGGTAACCATCCCGCTAATGCTGCTGTATAAGTATACCTGTACATGTTCTCAGCATGAACGCCATCCTAACCTAGCTTTTTATCCTTAAATAGAATTGGCAAGTTGTTCACAATATACTTCTACGTGGTTGAGACAAATCAACCTCAATTTTTCAGCATTTGCTGTTGATGTTACCTGGCAGGTGCTCAAATACTATAGCAATAAAAAACCTTAAGAAGATCTTTTTGCAATTTGTCCAAAGCTATTGAAGTAGATTTTGTTATAGTAGTCATATCTTCTACCTTTATCGTTGGTCTGATGTTGACGACTTTGGTTGTGAGCGTGCCATATATTTTGTCACTATTGCTGAATAAATTGTCGTCAGGATGTACCGGTTAATAAGGTCAGACTTCCTACTCATGAATCAAACTTTTTGTGTCTTAGCTTCTGTGTATGTAAATATCTGTTATTGGGAGAGCAGGGTCTTCGTGGGCAGGACAGAAGACTAGTTTATCGGATACATATTACAAGGATTGATGCAGGTCACAAGATCTAATTCAGTTTCGCCATGAGTGGATAGAAATTTATTGATTTCAGTGGAACTGGTGATACACCAGAGCTGAATTTGTCCTAACATCTTTAGAGCGCTTAAAGACCTGCTAAATTAATAGTAGTGTATGATTTTATTTGTTATATTGATTTTTGCTCATAAAAATTGTATTCTTGAAATATGAGTTTAGGAACATGAGGTTGGTATTCCTTTTTGCCATTTTTTAAATTTAAATGGTCAGACAAGACTCTGAAAATGTACCAATATGAACTATGGTTGGGCTGGGGAGGAAGTTAGCAAGTGAGATCCAAGGTCAGTTCCCTGTTGAGAAGTCATCCTCTAGATCAGTGGTTCTTAACCTTTACTGCAGCCTGCACCCATTTGGTTCTCAAAATATGCTCTCATACCCTTATCAAAAATCAAAATATGTTCTCACAAAAATCGTTGAAGTAGGTCAGTTCTTTAAATCTAGATATATTTTTTGTTTGTATATTACAGTAATCATTAAAAAATGTGTAATGTTAATAAATACATAGGTTTAATTAAACAAAGTAGTTGTACTTATGTGCCTGTGCTTAATTTGTGTTTTCGATGATTTACCTTCTAAAAAAATCTGGCCTGTCTCACATCCCAGGTTAGAACCACTGCCCTAGATGGTAGGTGTCTGATAAGCTTGAAACTCCTTCCTCATTCTGGCAGCTCAAAGTGAAAACTCCACTATCCTTCCCCACTTCCCTTGCCAGTCCCCATTACTGTGTTGTGGGAGAGGGTGTATTTGTGTAAAACTGATATTCTTTAGATTGTGGTACGCAGTGTTGTTGTAGCTATGGTAATCTCAGGATGTTAGATATGCAAGTTGGGTGAAGTAATATCTCTTACTTGAGCAGCTGCTGTTCATGAGAGAGATGAGCTTGCACCAGACCTGAGGAAGAGACCTGTGTAAGCTCGTCTCTCACTAGCAGAAGCTGGTCAAGTGAAAGATATTACCTCACCCATCTTGTCTCTCTAATTCTTCAGAGTTTCACAATTGCCAACCCAGAGATGAAACTCAAGTGTCTTGTTCATTTTACTATATTGCTCATAGCTTTCCTCAACAGCAAAAGCACTAGAGCTGTGCTCAGACTCTGGAAGACAGCACTGTATTAATTTATATTTGAAAGGTTATCTCTGCAAATGCATGGGCTCTGCATAAAGGCTAGAAATTTAACACTTTTAAAGGAGAGCTTCAATTCCGCGGAAACTGATGGCCTTTTCCACAGATAGCTTCCTTCCCACCATGTGTGTGTGATTTTTTTTTTTTAAATAGTCCTGATCTGAAAGCCAGTTCTCATCACTGTTTTTTATCTAACTATAACAAATAATTCTGCAGGTTGAATTTCCCATTTAGTTTTACTGTTGTCTTGAGATGCCATGGAATGATGACGCAAAGTTAAAATTGTTGAATGTGCAAGTTTTTAGCAGTGCTGCTTAAGTCTTACTGAAGATACTGTTTTATCTTGTAGTTGCAGCATCAAGAAGAAGCAGGACATCACAAATTGCAAGAAATAGAAGAGTGGTAAGAAATAAAAATGTTTGCAACTACCTTATCTGCAAGATAACTGTTGTTTTTTTAGTCTTGTTTTGCATCTGTACTTCTTAGTTCTTTTCCTAAAGAAAGATGGATTCTCATTGGTTGGTAATCATTGAAACATGTTGACTTGGAACAAAATATAGCCTTGCAACTAAATTTGGTGGTTTTTTTGTTAATCAGGAGGATATGTCATATCAATACACGCTTATTTAAGTAGTCATATAACTTACATTTATTCAGAATTTTAACTTTTACTCACTAGATGAATGGTTTACTTATGATTTGTGTTGAGCTTTTTTTGAAAAATGAACCAAAATTGCATAAAACAGCATTTTAAAATTGTTTTTAGTTAAATAAAACAATCTGAAATATGCAGGATACATAAGAAAAGTTTATCAAAACATGATTTTTGCATTTAAAACTAACTGCTTTATTAAACAACATGTGAATTGAATGATTGTTTCTGGTCACCATTTTCCTTCAGAATTTTAGAACTAGAGGACCTCACCCATACACACTTAGTTTTTATGCATAGATTGGAAGAGGAAGACAAGTTTTCCGACATTTTGAACTCCCAGTTGGTTTCTTAACTTTGAATGAACTAGTAATTGAACAGAACTAGTTGAATAAACTAAAAGGAATAAAATATTTTCTTTGCATCTGCAAAAGAGGCTACTTTTGTCAAAAACTGGTGTAAAACATTTCAGCTAACTCTTGGTTACAGTTTAGTCCATGATCTCCACCAGTACAGTGGTTTAACTTTCTTTAAGGCTTGGGCAGAAAACATATACTGCCTCATAATAAACTTAGGCCTTAAAATAGGTTGTTATAATTTCAAATGTAATTTTAAATAAGCTGATTTAAAAAAATTAACCTGTATTTAATTTTAAAAATCTGATTTATTTATTTACATCTCTCTCACACACACTCATTTTTATCCATCCTGGCTTATGGAGAGTTCCTCCCAAGCATGAAAGGCAGCATAAGAGAAAAATTATAGGTGCTTGCTTTGATAATTTAACAAGCAGGCAATGGAGGCTGGCATCATGGACCGTTGTAAGGTAAGAGTTGATCTTTAGACACTGAGGGCAGGTCTGCGCTTTGGGGGAAAGTCTGTCTAAGCTACACAAGTTCAGTTACGTTACTAGGGTAACTCAAGTCAACATAGCTTACATCTACTTACTGTGGGGTCCACACTATGTTATGTTGACAGGAAGGCGATCTGCACAGTTTTCTGCATTTGCAATACTTGATTTCAGGATAATTACATCAACTATTATGGTTTTGACACTAAACTACTGATGCATGCTCTCAACTTTCACTCTGTCTGAGTGGGCTTTTTTGTCTGGGAATCTCCTGTGTTTTTTTTAAATACATGGTGACTCAACAGGAAATCCAAAGGGAATGCATTATTTCTGATTTTATTATTTATTTATTTATTTATATATTCACTTGTAAGATTTTATGTACGTACACACACACACATACACACACACACACACTTTTAAGGGCAGATTCAGTGCCACACAAAAGCAGCCAGAGCGCAGCAGCCAGTTAAGCTGAGTCTACAGCTGCTTTGTAATAGCAGAGCAGTGCAAAGCGGTCACACACTGGTGAATCTGGCTCTTAATTTGCAATTGACTTATTGGTTTAAAGGGTGTTGTTAGTAAGATACGTGGTATGTGCAGTGGTGGTATAGAGCTCAGTCTGAGGCCCAGTGTGGCTGTGCTTTAAAAGTTCCCTATCTTGGCTTTCTCGTCAGTGCTCTCTATGCACAGTGGAGATGAAGCATCAGTGGCATGAGGGCCTTTCAAGCACTGAAACCCAAGCTACATTGCAGCCATTGAACCTTTAAAGAACAGTGACAGTTGTGCCAAGTAATCTACCAATGAGAATGTTTGACACTTGTCCAGTCTCCCTCATTCCACTGAATCATTACACCAACAGCGTTGTAGAATGAAAACTATCTGTAGATTCCTGTGGTGCTGGCATAGGTTATCTCTGTCACATTGACCCTGCTTGTGTTTCATGATCCAGTTTTTAATTACTTTTAAAAATCCCTAAACTAACAGATAATTCATTCTTTGCTTAAAGAGTAAGGCCATTAAGATCAGGGAGAATACCTTGTATTTTTCATACAAAACAAAGAAACTCAGCCTTAACTGTGGAATCGTGACCAGTGCCTCAATAATCCATTCAGAATACTGCTGCAAAGATCATTTTCTTGATTTACCAGATCACCCCCTTTGTGTCCTTTGCTTGCTTCCATTCTGTACTGCATCAAACGTAATTTTTTTGGTCTTCACTTTTAAGGCTTTTCATGGGCTATTTTCCTGCTCTACCTATCACTTCTGACGCTGTTGAGATGTAGAGTTCCGTATCTGCTCTGCCAATGATGCCAGCTTACATCATCCACTTCTACTTAAATTTTTGAAACAAGTACCTTCATGCTGTCTTCCAAGCTCCTCTTCATGCATGAAAAGAGCTCCCTGGAAACATTTGCAAAGCCACTTCATTGTTGGCCTTCAAATCTTCTAAAACTCTTCTCTGTCATGAGGTTCAGACAGCTGTGACCTCTAGGTTTTATGGTGGTCAGTATTCTCATTGTTATCCCATGCTTCTCATTCTGTTTGTATCCACATGTTTAATCTTTCCAGTAAAATAGTAAGCTCTTTGAGGGAGGGATGGTCTTTTCGTTGTTTGTACAGTACCTGACACGATGGGGTCCTGATTGATGATGGGACTTTTAAGACACTACTGCAGTACAAATAATACCTAATGAATGTTAAACCAAGCCACCTTGGGCATATTACGAGCTAAAAAAGGTGTGTTCGGGGTTTTTTTTTTTTTTTTTTAAATCAAGTGAACTTCAGTTAAATTTTCAAAATACCATAATTTTTAACTCTTGTTTTGTTTGTTTTATTGAAATTTAGCACTCTGAAAAATCCCACTTGGTGCCGATTTGCACCTTTAGGCATCTAAATACCTTTCATAATCCGTCCCTAAGAGCTCACATTAAACATTACTTGGTCATCTCTATGAACTTATAACAAAACCATGGAAGACCAGACTTAACTTTCCTGATACTTCTAGAATACCGGGGGGGGGGGACCCTTTCTTTATGCATCATAAAGAAACCACAAAGGGCAGAAGTCTCTCTCTCTCTCTCTCAAATTCCTTTGCATGTCCCCTTTGAACTTTTCCCAGAATGAAATAAGAAATGTGATATAGAATAGTGGTCTAAAATGTGGGTTTGCCTCATTGTCATTTTTTACATTTGCAGATTTGAGATATGCGTGTGCACACACACATACAGTACCTCAGGATAAAGAGAGAGACTTTCTTGGTGTAAACATAGTTTTTTCTAGAACATAGTGAATGTAGTTGTTTGGTTAAAATAAGATGTTTATATGATAGAATAAATGTTCTACAATTGAAAAGGAATTTATTAAACACTTAATACAAAAGTATCTTTTCTTAAAACTCAGTAATGAGCTTAGCAAAAGGCATTCCTTGAAGTTACCGGCCTTTAGAAGATCCACTATCGCCAGCCAGTCAATTATTCCTGAGAACACCATTCACTTTGACTGTTACGGGTTTATCTCTCAAAATAACTGACCCCCACCAATGTTGTGTCACTTCTAATTTTTTTTAGCCTGGAGCTCCTAGAACTGAAAAGATGGCTGTTGATCAGGACTGGAGCAATGTTTATCCAACTGCAGCAGCATTTAATCCTTCTTCAGTGCCTCTTCCCATCCGAATGGGCTATCCTGTGAAGAGAGGAGTACCTCCACCGAAAGGAGGCAATTTGGAGCTTATAAAGGTAGGGTGCATCACTATAGTCTTTATATAACTTAGTTTTATTTCAACTCTCAAAGACCAGTGATTTGCAGTATGGCTTGATCAAAATATTTTCTCCAGATAGCACTTCATACTTGATATATTTATCACACAATATATTTAACATAATACAACTGTGTACCCAAGTAGCGAATGAAGAGAATCAGTTCAACTTTACTATCAGTTAACTGTGATCCCTTAAAATGTCATGCATACAGAGTCTGATCTTGGTGACTTGCTCTCATAACTTGTTAATGAGACTTGTGCTGGGTCAGAGGTGAGAGGAGACACTTACTTATTTAATCCTCTCATTTAAATCTCGTATCACACACTTGGTCTAAAGAGAATAAGTAGTGAAAGTAGTAACAGAAGTAGAATAAGACTTTGTTCATTGAGCAAGTTATTGTCTGCTCAAGAGAGTGCCTTCAATTTTAAGTTCACACAGCAGTTTATTTGTTTATAAGCAAACTAGGTTACTGAAAAATAATCAAATATTTTATTTCAGATCCCTAACTTTTTGCATCTGACTCCCCCAGCAATTAAGAAACACTGTGCAGCTCTTAAAGGTGAGTTTTTGCCTTTTCTTTAAAACAGTTTCCTTGGAATTCTTAAGACACTTTAAGTAATTTAATTACACCTGTGTGGCAGGATAAGAAGACCCACATACAAAGCTTGCTGCTTGTCAGACTTCTTTCTCAGTATTGTCCAGTACCATTTTTCTTTTGTCCCATTGAAATATGATTCCACATCAATCACATAACCCTATATATTCATGTTTCCTCAACTCTGAGGGAGTTATGTTTTTTCCCCCAGAAAAGAGGCCACTGGGAGGCTTAATGTGTGACTCTGGGTTGTGATGTATTCAATGTGCTGGACAGATTGCATTGCTCTTCTGTTAGGCTTAGCTAGTATAGGGAAATGGAAAACCTGATGTCTTGATGAGTATGGGGCTTGGATATGACTCAGTCCAGAGAAAACGATGGCCTGGTTTATGCACAGTGTTTTGTACCGGTAAAACTGTTGGTTAGGACTGCACTTTTTAAAAACTGATATAGGTTTTATGGTACAACCCCCAATCTGGATGTAGTTATATCAGTATAAAGGTGCTTCTACCCCATTCAGAAGAGGAAGCTAAACTGCTATACATTTATACTTGTGTAATTGCATCCACCCTGGGGTTGTACTTCTTTAACTGCAGCATTTTAGCTATACCAGTATATTGCCTGAGGAAAGCAGCTGGAAGAGTTGAGAAAGATCGTATAAATTCTCCAGCTGAGTTTGTGCAGCAGATACAATCTAGTTGTATTAGATATTTGATTGCTCTTGGATGCCCAGGTAGTGACTGAGGCCAAGAGTGTTTTTTATATGTATCTTTTGAGGAGTGCAACCTATCTTCTTCCAGTGAAGATCTTGTCATAGTTACCCATGCCAATGTCCTCTCAAAAGTAATTACTGTAATGTGTTCCGCTTGGTTCTACAACTTGAAATGGTTTGGAAATTAAAGCTAATGAAGAACGTAGCAGTCGCCAGGGCACGTTCTACTGGTGGTGTAGAATCTCTACTGTGTGCCAGTAAGTTTCCAGGTGGAATTCAAAATGTTGTTTTTAATGTATAGATCCCTAAATAGCCCCTCCATATCGAAGAGAGGGATCCACTGGCAGTATGTTCTCTGTGAGGAATTCTCTACTTTGAAATTCAGGGGTCTTCTATTTTGAAATTTTGTTTTTCACCGTCTGCCCAGACGCAGATGATCTGTTAACTAGAGCTGGTCAGGAATTTTTTAGAAAAATGTCCATGTGCCAAAACCAATCTCAAAACAGGATCAAGTTTGACAAATCTTCCCCCCCCCCCCCCCCACCAAAAAAGTTGACTGAAAAGGGAGAAAAAAATTGCTTTTTTTGGTTTTCAAATGTTTTCAGAATTTTGACTTTTTTTTTCTTCCTGATTTGAGTTGGGAGGGGGAAAGACTTCTGAAATATAAGATATATAAATATGATAAAATTCTCAAATATTTGTGAGATGGAAAAATAGTTTCCTACCCAGCTCTGCTGTTAGCCTTCAGAGTATGCTGCAAAGCCCATCTTTTCTTCTGGATATCTGGAAAGGGTTCTTCCAGCATGAAGCTGATGCGCTAATTTCAAAAGTAAAGAAATATTGTGGTGGTGCTTGTAAACCAATAACAGCTTTGTGTTTTCATCATGTGAGGGAATATGGCTTCCCTATAAATATACAAAAAAAAATCTTTAGAACTATAAATACAGATAAGCAACAATTTTTTAAAAACTTAACTTTTTTATCCCTCAGATTTCTGCACTGAGTGGCCAACTGTATTGGACAGTGATGAGAAATGTGAGCAGCATTTTCCTATTGAAATTGAGACAGTAGATTATGTTTCAGCAGGGCCATCTGTTCGTAATCCCAAAGCAAGAGTGGTGACTTTAAGAGTAAGTATTATATTTTAGTAAACAAAAAAAGGCATTTTTCAAGCTCTTTCAAGAAATGTTGCAATTGAGACTCAAATGAAAGACAGTAGATTACTTTAAATATAGAGCAACATGTGGAAACTCATTCATATTAGTATGACCTGTATCAGATATAAGTGAGGAGCAATTTAAAGTAAAGCCAAAGTGGCATGCTTTCTGTCCATTCAAACTTTCTGTAAGGCAGAGACAGATACAGTTACCAGCCACATGAATTTATTTTGGAAACAGAAATGCCATCAAGCTTGATAAAGCCAAAATCTTAGATTCCTTACCCCAAGGAATAACTTAATTAAGTAATCTCTGACCAATGGCTGGCATTTTGTGGGCCTGATCTCTTCTAGGACCCATTATTGCTTTTGCATTTTTTTCATTTGTTTGCTATAACTGTAAGACTTTTATTATAATGAGAAACTTTATTATAATGAGTTAACTTGTGTTGTGGCCACAGGGATCTGTTTAACAGCTTTCTAATTAAACTCTCATGCTTTCTAATCTAATGTCATCAGGTTAATGTGCTCTGACTCGTGATGCTCATTATTAATTTGCTAGAATGTGATAGTAACAAAAGCTTGGATTGGAACTGTTCCCAAAAACAGAAATGTAGTCCTGGGAGTGGAGTCATTTCAGGTATTTTATTCTTTGTCTTCAAGGTGACTTCCAAAGGGGAAAGGAGTTATAGTAAAACAGCAGGCCTGTGATGAAATAATTTTAATTCTGCTTGATATTTACCCCAGAAATGGCAGAATATAAAGTCATACCTGACTTTGGTGGAGGACTCCTTGGAGGACTAGAGCATTTGGGTGATAGCTTACTCAGCTAGAACAGAAAGGGCAAAGTGAGTCATTATCAGAGCGCTTTAATTCACCTGTCTGTTGGGTGTTTGATATCCAGCAGTTCACAGAAACAAAACTCTTACGTTTTATGAATTAAGCCATGGAAAGCAGGTATCCTGTCCTAGGGATGTGAAAACAGTGTAATACTGCTTGGGGCCAAGGTGGCAGAAATAGTGTTACTTTTTCCTCTTCTATTTTATTTTGGGTAAAAGTAATGTTTAAAAAACTATTCCATTATCTCAGTGGTCCTAATATAGTTATGACTTTGTTAATATTCCAGGACCTATAACTACATTAAAATGGAATTAAGGTTGTGAATAATGGGGTGGGGCTGGGATTAAAAATATTTCAGAGGTGTTGTAATTATCATCCCAAAAATCAGGCATTACAAACTAAGGTAACTGAATTAACATTAAGGTAACTAAGATAACACTTTTTTCGATCTTTTTCGTATGTAAGGTAGAGATGCACAGTTAAGGCATGCATATAACCTTAGCACTACCTTGTAGTGACATCCTCTAATAACCATATGATTAAGGCATTTCAGTGTTTGTTGTCCCAGATCAGATTAAATTGATTTTTAAAGATGTATTAGACTTTTTCGTATTTTCCCCCTTGTGTTGCCAGTGCAAGGGAGAGTTAAGTTTTTATTGGATGCCTTAAGTATGCATTTCTTACACTAATATCTTTGGATTTCTGAAGTATAACGGTTAACTTTCAATTTCCTGGGTTTGTAATGGTTTTGGGGTAATTAAAACATTGTTGTTTGTTTTTCCCGCCTTAAGTTACTGAAATCTACTTGTAAGCATAACTTAATTTTATGTATTGGAGTCTTTATAATTGAAAATGTCATACATGAACACTAAACAAGAAACACAGGGAACACTACTTTGTGATGTAGTATTGACATTAAATAATTTTTAAAACTTTAGTTTGAGGGCAGATTCCAATACACCAAAGCTGTGCAAAGGAGACAGCTGAGGGTACTGGTGAATTTGGCTCTTAATTTGCGTTAATTTGACCTACTTGTGTAGAGGGCTGAGTTAATCAGATAGGTGGTATGTGAGGCAGTGGGGGAGAGGGGAACAGGGAGAACCCAATCCCAGTGTCTTCTTGCTTTAAGGGTTGTCCTGCCTATCTGGCAGTGCCATCTCAGCATGCAGTGGAGCTCAGTAGCACTGATGCCCAAGCTAGTATGTGGAAATAGAAACTTTTAAAGAGCAGCGACAGGTGGGCTAAGTAATTGACCAGTGAGAACTCTTGACACGGGTCCAGTCCCCCTCATATGACTGACTCTTTACAACGAGTAGAATTGTCGTATGCAAATTAGCAATACAGGAACAGTGGTGACGGGTGATTACAACCCTATCTGTGGCCTATTATAATTACAAAAATATTAGATACAATTATTAACAACCTTGGTTGTAGCTATGGGCAAGATAAGATTTCAGATAAGTTGAACCATATGGATGTCTTATTCCTCTAAGATCATTTTGGACAAAGAAAAGACAGAGAGGGATGCTAAATATCTTGAATTACCCTATTTTTAAACTATAAACTAACAGACTTGATAATTCATTCTGTAATCAAAGTGTAAGTGCTGTAATGTTGGGAAGGATACGCTGTTTTTCATACATAACAAGGAGGTTGTGGAAAATGGAACTCAATCTTAACTAAGGAGAGTTGAGACCAGTGCCTCTAGTATAAATTAACTTCCCTCAGGGTGGCAGGTCTTTGATATGCATGGGAAGGGGTATATTTGGTTTTGAAATCTAAAAGGCTTGTCTGTACTTTTTGGGTTTGGGGTTGAGGAGATTGGGGTGGGGAAAGTGGTAGTAAGGGCATTAGACCCTGGCTACCTCAACCAGGGTATCTCCATTTCCTGTGGTCGGGGTGATGAGGATTGGCTTGAATTCTCTCTGAATGAGAGATGTGTGGGCTTTAATGGGTGTAAGGAAGTACCTGTAGAAGTGTTGTCCCGTTCTTCGGTCTTCTCCCTCCGTGTGTGGGATTACATTGTTTGTTAGATGGCTTTTGCAGCTTGCCCGGCAGACTGGTACTTGGGCATCTGACTCTGGTGACTACTTACTTTGGAGTGCTGCTACATGGTGGCTGAGAAATTTGAGTGTAGCTCTTGGGTGAAAGAGAGGTGGAGGCCTGGGAGTGGTTGTAAGGATGAGGGGGATCTCTTGATCCCTGTGGTGATGAACAGGAAATGAGGCAAGAAGAAAGCTTGTTTTTTGTTGTTGTTTTTTACGAGAAACTTAAATTGAGATGTTGTATCTAACTACCATTAGTTCTGCCTTGAAAGGCTAGAGTGTTAGTCATAGACATAGAGTCATAGACTTTAAGGTCAGAAGGGACCATTATAATTGTCTAGTCTGACCTCCTGCACAACACAGGCCACAGAATCTCACCCACCCACTCCTGGAACAAACCCCTAACCTACTTCTGAGCTATTGAAGTCATCAAATTGTGGTTTAAAGACTTCAGGGTGCAGAGAATCCTCCAGCAAGTGACCTGTGCCCCACACTGCAGAGGAAGGCAGAAAATGCCCAGGGCCTCTACCAATCTGCCCTGGAGGAAAATTGCCGTATTTGAGATCAGGAAGGAATCAGCTAAACCCTGAGCATGTGGGTAAGACTCACCAGCCAGACACCCAGGAAAGAATTCTCTGTAGTAACTCAGATCCCACCCCATCTAACATCCCATCACAGGCCATTGGGCATATTTACCGCTAATAGTCAAAGATCAATTAATTGCCAATATTAGGCTATCCCATCATACCATCCCCTCCATAAACCTATCAAGCTTAGTCTTGAAGCCAGATATGTCTCTTGCCCCCACTGCTCCCCTTGGAAGGCTGTTCCAGAACTTCACTCTTCTAATGGTTAGAAACCTTTGTCTAATTTCAAGACTAAACTTCCTGATGGCCAGTTTATATCCATTTGTTCTTGTGTCCTCATTGGTACTGAGCTTAAATAATTCCTCTCCTTCCCTGGTATTTATCCCTCTGATATATGTATAGAGAGCAATCATATCTCCCCTCAGCCTTCTTTTGGTTAGGCTAAACAAGCCAAACTCCTTGAGTCTCCTTTCATAAGACAGGTTTTCCATTCCTCGGATCATCCTAGTAGCCCTTCTCTGTACCTGTTCCAGTTTGAATTCATCCTTCTCAAACATGGGAGACCAGAACTGCACACAGTATTCCAGATGAGGTCTCGCCAGTGCCTTGTATAATAGTACGAACACCTCCTTATCTCTACCGGAAATGCCTCGCCTGATGCATCCCAAGACCACATTAGCTTTTTTCGCAGCCATATCGCATTGGCGGCTCATAGTCATCCTGTGATCAACCAATACTCCAAGGTCCTTCTCCTCCTCTGTTACTTCTAATTGATGTGTCCCTAGCTTATAACTAAAATTCTTGTTATTCATCCCTAAATGCATGACCTTACACTTCTCACTATTAAATTTCATCCTATTACTATTGCTCCAGTTTAAAGGTCATCTACATCTTCCTGTATGATATCCTGGTCCTTCTCTGTATTTGCAATACCTCCCAGCTTTGTGTCATCGTCAAACTTTCTTAGCGTGCACCCACTTTTTGTGCCAAGGTCAGTAATATAAAAAGATCAAATAAGATTGGTCCCAAAACCAATCCCTGAGGCACTCCACGAGTAACCTCCCTCCAGCCTGACAGTTCACCTTTCAGTATGACCCATTGTAGTCTCCCTTTTAACCTGTTCCTTATCCACCTTTCAGTTTTCATATTGATCCCCATCTTTTCCAATTTAACTAATTTCCCATGTGGAACCGTATCAAATGACTTACTGAAACTGAGGTAAATTAGATCCACTGTGTTTCATTTGTCTAAAAAAAATCTGTTACCTTCTCAAAGAAGGAGATCAGGTTGGTTTGGCACAATCTATCTTTTGTAAAACCATGTTATATTTTGTCCCAATTACCATTGACTCAATGTCCTTAACTACTTTCTCCTTCAAAATTTTTTCCAAGACCTTGCATACTACAGATGTCAAACTAACAGGCCTATAATTACCCGGATCACTTTTTTTCCCTTTCTTAAAAATAGGAACTATGTTAGCAATTCTCCAATCATACGGTACA